CGGCCTCCCCGGGTCGTGCAGCGGAGCGGCAGAGCCGGCAGGTGCGCTGTCCGGCCTGGGTCGCAGGACCCGCCTCGGGCTGCGGCTCCAGCCGAACGAGGCCCAGCCCCGGGACGGAGAGGAGCCCCTCAGAGCCCTGCCGACCCCCTGCAGCCCACTCTGCCGCCCTTCGCATCCCAAGCCCTTGCCTTCGACGCCAGCGTGCTCCCCTAGGCCTTTGTCCCTTTCCCCTGGCCGTGTGTGGACTCGCCCAGCTCCCACCCACTCCGGCCACCTGCCCTGTCTTGGTGCTCTGCTGCCCACCTCTGTCTGCATTTGCATGGACTCTTTGCAGTGACGAGGACTACCCGAGACCTAATCCCGCTGCACAGTTTTTTTGCCAAGTCTCAGTTGGGGTTCATGCATTTTTGTATTTAAGTCTGGAACCAGCGAGGGGATATGCCTAATTTTAAAAGAGTTTTGTGTCTCAGAGCTGAGGTATACATAACCCGAGGGCTAGAATTCCTCACCTACATCTGTGGTACTGTGCCAAACACCAAGTGAAGAATTCTGTCTTTGGCAGCTTGTTGGCGATGTGTGACTCACACTTTGCTTGTAACGTCTTGGTGACTCATGCCAGGATTACCAAGATTTTAGAGGTAGAAAAAAAAGTCCTTAATTATGTGACTCTAAATTAAAAAAAAATTCTTTCTTAGAACAGCTTTGACACCTGGCCACCTGTACCTTACATAGACATGTTTAGTGTTGGAGGGCCTGCCACTGTTCTATAGAACTTTAACTATTCTCTCGTGGAGTCTTGCAAATACCTGAAAATTATAGTTATTTATGTCCCTAGATTCTTGTTATGCTAATTGAATTAATGGCCCCATTTTCTTCACCTGTTTCAAGTGGTTAACACACCTAGCACTCACTCGCTGATGCTCTCCCCAGTAACAGAGGCAGGACCATTTGGAAGGGGTGCTGCCCATCCCATCCTAATGTCTGCACCCCCTCCCAATGGCACCCCCCCAACAACTGCAGCCCATGGTGAAAAAAATACTGGAGCACTTTTAAGGCAGTAGAGAAGGGGATATGGATGGTGTTCAGATTGATAGTGTTTGACCCATCTGTTTAATGTTAGATCCAGGCTATGTATGTTCTGAGCACTTTGTCAATGCTAACTCATTTAATTCTTACCTGTGAGGTGGATACTGCTCTTCATTTTGTAGACCAGAAAATTGACGGTTAGTGAGATCAACTAACTTGCTATTAGGACTTTCAATTCTTCAGTGCAAAACTAAAGTTTGAACCCAGGTAGCCTGGCTCCAGTGTCTGCTTTTAGCTACTCCCGTGTCCTTCCTAGAAACTAGAGGCTGTGATGAAGTCAGCACAGAATAGCTCCAGAGACTCCACAATGGAAAAACCAGGGAGAAATTTGCAAGGTGGAGAAATGGCAACATTGTACAGTATCCTTTCTAAAAATGTTACCAGTACTACCTAGCTGAATTTTCTTATTCTGGGGTTTATAAAAGGTTGTGGAGAGTAGAAGAGAAAAATGAGATTTGCTGCTAAGAATCAACTAGAGGGGTAAATGCCTAAAGGAGAAAAATACACTCCCCCCCTTTTCTTGGTTAAAACCTTGTTCAGTTTCACAGCTGAGGTTCTGCAGCTCACAGTTGTATCAGTGAGTGTGTCATACTACAACTGATATGCCTAATAAGACTCCTCAACAAGAGAAAGTTAAGTTTCCTGTAATATGGAGAAATACGTAAAGCATGGTCAGGGTTTTTTTTTATTATAACAGGGCAGGGAAGTGTAGAAGACAGTGTAGAATGACTTTAAAGTTTCATTGAGATTAAAACTGAGACTGATAGGAGAATGCATGCTTGGCCTAGCATGTATGAAGGTCTTGGTCAATCCCTAGCGCCATATTAACTGTGGTGGTACGCTACTGTAGTCCCAGCACTCAAAGAAGTGGCGACAGGACAATCAGAAGTTGAAGGTCAACCTCAGCTACATGGGAAGTTTGAGGCCAGCCTGAATTACATGAGACTGTCAGAGAGAGGGGAGGGTTTAAAATTGCAGCTCTCTAGAAAACTCACATGTCCAAATGGCTCTTTTCTAAGGATTCAGCACTATTATTCACCTAATTTCCATATCTGATCCACAAGGACATATCAAGTACTTTAAACAAGGATTTATTCTGTGCTTAATAGTTGCTGCTCTTTAAAGGGTATGTATGTTAGTTGGTTGACAGCATATGTGTAGAATAATAGTACATGCCAAGTATCAAATGAGCGTCATCAACAGTAAGTGCTTTGAGAGCTCAGAAAGAGAATGGTCGAATTAGAATGATGCTGTGGAGGAGATGGGAGTTTGATATCATCTCACTTCTGACTCTCCCAATGAAAGCTCTTGACTTATAGGCTGAATTCTAGGAAAACACGGCTGTGTCAGCATCAGAAAATATGTACCATTTTCTGTCTTCACAGACTAAAAAGGATATATGTTCATAGTATAGTCATAGAAGCAGCATTCAGTTGCATTCAGTTCCTAATCATGATGAAAAAAATATTTGTAAACTAGCAGTAGGAAATATCTTCCTTGTTGGGGAAAAATAGGGTATTAGTTTTACCATATCATAGTGGAAAAAGGTTTCTTACAATAGCAAAAGTACAAGCTCTAAACAAAGATTGAGATATTTAGCTCCATTAAAATGAAGAAGTCTGTTCCTCAAAAATATAATTAAAAAAAAATTTTATGTGTATCGAGTGTACTACCTGCATGTATGTAAGTGCACCTGTGTTGTCCAGTGCCTGAGGAGGTCAGAAGAGGGTGTCAGATTCCCCTGGAAGTAGAATTAAAGATGGTTGTTAGCCGCCATGTGGGCGCCATGAATCGAACCTGGGTCCTCTGCAAGAGCAGCCAGTGCTCTTAACCTCTAAACCATCTCTCCAGCCCCCTATAAAAGATATTTTTTGTTGTTGTTGTTTTTTGAGACTGTAGCCCCACCTGGCTGTGAACTCTCTTATGCAGACCAGGCTGGCCTCAAACTCACAGAGATTCACCTGCCTTTGTCTCCCTAGTGCTGGGATTAAAGGTGTGTGTTACCATACCTGGCTCTATAAAAGACATTTTAAAGATAAGCTATAAGGTGATACAATATGATTTCATTACAACCAAGAAATGATTGCCAGAATAAAGAAAGTTCTGCTGGGTATGGTGGTGCATGCTTTTAATCCCAGCACTTGGGAGGCAAAGGCAGGTTGATCTCTATGAGTTCAAGGGCAGCCTGGTCTACATAGTGAGTTCCAGGCCAGCTGGGGCTACAGGGAGATCCTGTCTTCAAAAGACCAAAAAAAAAAAAAAAACCCACAAAGAAACAAAAACAAAAGAAAGTTCTATAGTGAATCAAAAATAGATGAGCCATTAAAAGCTAGTAAAGCAATAATTGTACAGAAAAGGAAACAAATGGCTAGATGGTGGGAAAGATGCTCACTGCTATTAGGAACACAGGCTAAAACCCTAGAGAAAGAAGTGCTGCTGAGGAAGGCAAGGTGTTGTGAATGATGGTGGTTCAGCCATAGCTCGGCGGTGGTGTGTGTGCTTAGCATGTCTACGGCCCTAAGTTTGATCTCCAGCACCATAAAGAGCAAACAGGAAATCACACACACTGGGGCTAGAGAGATGGCTCAGCGGTTAAGAGCACTGGCTGTTCTTGCAGAAGACCCAGTTTTGAATCCCAGCTCCTACATAGGGGCTAACAACATTTGTAACTCCAGTTCCACAGGACTGGATACTCCTCTTCAGTCCTCCACAGGCACTGCATGGCAAGGGTGCACTTAAACATACCCAGGCAATACACACACACACACACACACACACACACACACACACATCACACATACTCAAAGAAAATTTAAGTTGGGGGCTGGGCATGGTGGTGCATTCCCATAATCCCAGCACTTGAGAGTCTGAGGCAGGAGAATTAAGTTATAGGCTAGCCAGAGCTAGATAGTAAGACTATGTCTAGGAAAAGGTTAATATTAACAGCGGTCTAGCAATTCCACTGCTGTCTATACCCCAGAGAAACCCCTCACATGTATTTGAGAAATAGAATAGGAATAAGGATACCAGTTTTTCCTCTGAAGACCCCAAACTAGAAACTACCAACACCTCTTTAGCAGATTGTTTCAGTAAGTTGTGCCATGTTCACCCAAGGAGATGCTATGTGTTGGTAAAATGACTGCATCACAGCTGTACTTCCTTCCCTCTTTTTGCATGGTGGGGATGGATCAAATCCAAGGTCTTGTGTGTGCCACTCTGCCACTCCCCTATATCACCACCTCTTAGGGTTTCAGTGCAGGATCTCTGTGTAGCCCAAGCTTCACTCAAACTCTTTATCCTCCTGCCTCCACCTCCCAATCACTAGGATTATAGCTGTGCAACACCACACCTGGCTCTGACATGTCTGTCAACTGCATATGCATGTTACTTATGTTCGTATGCTGCATATTTCATAATTCAAACAATCTTTGAAAAGTTCTGGGCTAAGAACCAAGTACATTTTCTGTAGAACTCCCCACCTCTTTTAGAAGTTAGTTCATTCATTCTTCCTGTCAAAACTCCCACTCTTGTAATGTTTTTCTCCAAGGAAGGGAAGAAGGATATGTAGCAGAGCTCCTCCCTAGTGTGGAATGTTATTTTACTGCCATTGGTCTTTTCCTGCGGGTGCTTCCTTTCAGTCAGCGTTTCCATTTCCAAGATAGCTCACTTCATTTTTCCCATTTCTCTAGTTCCCTTCAAAGCCTTTCAGAATCCTTGTTTCAGTAAGTTGTGGGAGAAGAGAGTAGACAAGAGGCCTCTTCTCTTTGCTGATGCGTGTGCGTGGATATAAGC